TTGTGCTTCAAAGAAAATAAAAGCCCTTTAGCTTTGCCTCATCAGTTTAAACTGTGCATTTATTAGACAAGTCTCAACCACTGCAGGTATTTGTGTTACTAACACTAATAATTTCCATTATTACTGTGGTGCCAGGAGGCTGTGATGGCCTTGTGTTGGATGTGACACCCAGGAGGGTGATCTCAGGAGGACATCAGCCACTATGAAAGGCTGTAGGGGAACCCAAAGATAGAAGCTGTGGCTGCCCTCCTCCCCAAGAGGGTGGTGCTGTGACAGAGTGCAGCTCTCCTTGCTCTTGGATTCCTGGGCTTGCTGCTATGGCCAAGTGGGCACTGTTCATTTACTAGATGACACACATCACTGTGCAGGGATGCTATTTTTCACTTTCTTGGCCAGGGTGAGGRTGACTGGAACAAAGACTGGTCTCTGTCTGGGATGCATGTGCCATGCATTGTGCATTAACCTGGTGTCATTTCCATTCCAACACGCTGCCAATGCACAATCAAACCTGATCCAAGGATTATCTTCTCCAAGCCTTTTTTTTTGGTTGCCAAGTCCATGGCATCTCCCTTGAATATTGGATCTGGGCTCCTAATGCAGCAAGTTCCCTGTAATTAAGTCTAAAAGCTCCTGAAGAGCATTTATGCAATGGAGGGAGTGAACCAGATGATTTTTTCTTTGGGGCACTGAGCACCTGGAGCCTGTGGCCATCAGTTAATGACACTGGCTGTGAGCCACCCTGTCCTAGACAGAAGGGCTGGGTTTGTCCCTTGGTTCCCAGGAAGCATTTGTTTCCCTTCCAAACTAATGTGTGCAGGCTGGTTTGGGATTGGAACAGGTGGCGGAGAAAGGGGAAGGCAGGGCTGTATCTTTTGCTGTGTTTGACCAACCTGGGCTCTTCTCCCTTCCTGAAATGGTTGAGATGAGGACATTGTAATTGGCCTGTCTAGACTGCAGTAGCACCTGTGTGCCCATGGGCAGCCCTGTGTCACCTCTGGCCCTTCTTGCACATTGTCCCTGGACTGGGCTGGCTGCCAGCTGTCCCCAGCAGGAACAGGGGACGGGGATGCTGTGAGGCCCTCTGAGAAATGGTGCCACTCTCAATGCTCCACCTTGGGCTTTAAAAACCCACGAACCAAAACAACAATAACAAAAAAACACCAACGTAGAAAAGCCCCCTTAAACCCCTCTAAATCCATTCTGAAGTTAAATGATGGAATTTGGTCTGTTGTTTTTGTTGGGTTTTTTTTCTGTTGCTAGCTCTTATCGGTGTCCTCTAAACTGCAGGGACAAGCAGAGGGGTCGACGGATGACCTTCCTGCTTGGCTGGTTTCTGCACAAGGCAGATTTAGCAGGAGGTTCCTCATGCCTTCCTGTCCTGCTGTCCCCATACGCTACTTCCCCATATTCCACTCTCCCCCTGTCCCCATATTCCCCAGTCCCCATATCCTGCTGTCCCTGTCCCCATCTCCCCATATCTTCTTGTCCCTCTCTTCCTTCCTTCCTCAGTCCACATATCCCCGTCCCGCTCTCCGCACATCTTACCGTCCCCCTCTCCCAATCTCCTGCTGTCCCCGTGTCTCCATCCCGCTGTCTTCGTGTCCCGCTGTCCGCATCTCCCCGTGTCCCCATGTCCCGTGTCCCTCTCTCCCCGTGTCCCTCTCTCACCGTGTCCCCCTGTCCCCATATTCCGCTGTCCCCTGTCCCCGCTCTCCCCGTGTCCCCATCCCTTTCTCTCCATGTCCCGCTGTCCCCCTGTCCCTCTCTCCCCGTGTCCTGTTGTCCCTGTGTCCCCATATCCCCCTGTCCCGCTGTCCCCCTGTCCCCCGTTCCCGTGTCCCCCTGTCCCCATATCTCCCCGTGTCCCCCTGTCCCTCTCCCCCTGTCCCCATGTCCTCTGTCCCTCTGTCCCCCTGTCCCGGTGTCCGCAGTTGCGGTCCCTGCGGCCGCAGCGCCCCCTGGCGGTCCCGGTGCGCAGAGCGCAGCCCGGTGCCGGTCCCTCGGTCCGGGACACGGCGGGATCCGGAGCGGGAGCAGGAAAACCCCGGGGATCGGCGCATCCCCGCCCAGGAGACGGAAGAGCGGCTAGAAGGGTGTACCTCCAAGCCGAAATACCCTCACGTCCCTAGCCAAGGTCAGCAGGGTGATGAGTAGCAGATGATRAGGCCAGAGGGAATGTCTCATGTGACAACAAAGGCAGGTTGAAAAAAAGTTCATCATCGCTGGTCATCAATTAAAGTTTTTGGATAGTAGCTCCTGAAAATGTTTCCCTGAGGATATGGCATCCTAGAGCTGCACGTTCATTCAGAAACCCTGCTGTGAAGCCTCTGTACAGAGAGAACACTGCCTTCCTCKCTTTGGGCAGAGACCCAGACAGTTCTGACAACTGGCAGGAACTAAGCAGGTCAAGTTTAAAAAGCAGAGGGATAGGTGTGTATAAGTTTGAGAAAAAAAAACAGGCTTCTAGCAAAAATGAGCCTTTTGGTGTCTGCTTGGATCTCAAATTGTTGTTCTGACTACAGGTATGTCCCCTGGGCTAAGTACTGCACTGCTATTTGTAAGCACAGGGAAACGTTGCACAGCAAACACRGTGCACCTTTCAAGGCCTGAAATATTGTGTTTGAAGGATTCTAGATCCAGCTGTGCCGGGTATTTCACTTASGTGGTCATTGCCTGTTGTCTCAACTGGGATGATTTGTTAGGTCAGATTTGGAGYAATATTCTTGTCCTCGGTGACCACTCTGGAAATACAGAGGAAAAATAAGGAAGCAGGGAAAAATTGAGTCAAAACAATGTCATTTAACCACGTGTATCTTTAAAACTTCAAGCGGAGCCCACTCTTCCTGTGTCTGTTTCCTTTGCTGTATAGCCAATATCCCTTACTGGCTTTCTCAGCTTTAAAATTCCTCTCTTGGGACAGGCCAGCGGAAAGATAATTGCTGTYTGCTGTCCTCCCCCAGAATCCTGAGGAAGCCTCCTTCACCCTCCCTGGCTGCAGGTGTGTGACATGGTGTGTGACAGCTTATCAAATGGTTCAATCCCCAGCACCCTGCTCTTGGTTTGTCTGCACCTCATCTTGGAGCTCATGTCTTTGGGCTCAGCTCTGTCTGGAACATCCAGAGCACAAATAGCTTTATCCATCTCCCAGTTTTCAGTTGAGCCCAGTGTGTACTGATTGTATCCAAACGCTGGTGTTCAGATATAGTGCCAAAAACCGAGAGGAGGAATTGTGCTGTTGGTTATCCAGCTACGTGGCCAACATTCCCATGCAGTGGATACAGACAATAACAGCACAATCCAGCTGCTTTATAAGAACTTTATAGGATGAAGGATTACAGCTGCTTCAACAGACAGAAACAAGCTAATGTATTTCCTGTGACTACACATCCTTCCTCRGCCCGAATCCCTCCGTTAATTACTCCAGGAGGAATAGCCTTTCCTTTGCTGCCTTGTGGTGGCCCCGAGCCAGCGGGGATGGGCAGCGAGCTGGACTCCTTGAACGCGGTCATGACAACGAATTTTCCTGAACAGAGCCCACGGGAGAGCACAGCCACAGAGAGCCGTGTTTGAGCCCAGGGCCATTGGAGGGGACACGTCCCCATGGCCCTCGCCACAGAGAGCCGTGTTTGAGCCCAGGGCCA